GCCAGCGAGCTCCGTCGATCCTAAAAAATGCTAAATATACATAAAGCAAACATATCAACTAAAATATGATAGCTTACTGTGAAGAATCTGAACGAAGAGTCAATGGACGAGCGCATCGAAGGCACATGTAATCCGATGCCTTCGGAACCAGCTGCCTTTCTTGTAGTTGTTGAATGAGTGTTGGAGCTCCTCTCTCTCCGTTTCCACACAAACTGAGAATAGTTCGAATATTCAGAAGCATATCTGTTACAGTCTTATCAAAGATGTTAATGACTTTACTATGTCTCTACTATGTCCCTACCAAAGAAGATAGTAAAAGGAAAGAGAATAGGAAAGAAAAAAAAAGAAGATGAACAACAGAAAAGAAAGGAAAAATACCATGTATCACACATGTCATAGATATAGCGAACGAATATCTTATTTGTTCGCTTACAATATCCGAAAAGATTATCAAAAATAAAAATCAGAGGATTCAGAAAAAAAATCCTAGAATCGAGTATGTTTGACAACTGACCGCCAAGTTTTGTCTTCTGTTCTATCGTTTTCAGCACCTAAGAATCCCTTAGGAAGCATAAAATTCCAAGAAACGGGAGGTGGCCAGTAAAGTAAAATTATACCAAAAAAAGAAGTAATCAAAAAGCTAAAAAAGTTTACTTACTTGAAAAGAAACTTGCATCATAAGATTAGCTTTATTTTGATCTTGAAATGGAATTGATATTGGATCAGTTCCTTTCATAACAATCTATTCATAATTAATTTAGTAAAACAAAAGAAAGTACAAAGAAATATGAAGATTTTACTTTTCCAAGCATTGTTCCATGTTCACGACGTTTTTTAGTTAACATACGTGTATCAATTCCTAAAATCAAAATAATTACTATCATGTATTTATAAACAATAGAAAAAAAAGATGATTAACTATAAAGACCAGGAACATTATGTTTTTTAGCCATGATGAAAGAGATTCAACAGCATTTCAATGACTATAATGTTCTGTGTAAGCACTAACAATTAATCCTGATGCATAAATTTTATTTGATTCAACTCATCGAAGTATACCAAAATCATCAACAGCTTTTTCATCGGGTACACCTAAAGAATTTTAAATATAAAATAAATATTCAAAGATTAAGATATAAAGAAACGAACCATAATTGCCAATAAGTGGAAAAATAAGGACTAGAATTTCTCCACAATAAGATGGATCAGTTAATGATTCTACATAACCGACTATACCAGTTTGAGATACTAAATAGAAATAAAAACGCATAACAAAAAAAGAAATCAATCAATAGAATCTTACCGACTTCATCTGTAGCATTAGTTGACGCTCCAAATACAAAACCATGGAATTCAGAATCATCTTCAAGTATTAAAGTTCCACACTGCATCTGAAAAACAATAAAATAAAAATAGTTTATTATTTAAAAACCAATAATTGATGTATTTATATAAATGAAAAACAACTACTGTATCTAAATATGTTTGTTCTATCAAAGCTTTAAAAAATATTTTCTTTTTATATTCCATTGCACGAGATTTTGTACAGAATCGTAAAATAAACTTAATTAAGCTGTATTCGAAATATATGAGAAATATGGGATGGGATCAGTGTTCCGAATGAAACGATGACTCAGAGTGTACAAACAACGAATTTTCTTTGTTTCACTAAGTGTTCAAAGTGTATAGACAAAGGATGTACACTTGCCATTCGGAACGCTGGATGGGATATTGGATAGAATCTATTCGCAGAAATAAGAAGATATAACCATTCCAACATATTGCCTTGAAGTTTTCCTCAATACCTTCTGACATCTATCGTTACGAGATTTCAGCACTACATCTATTTCTCTTAGTTGAATGTACTTCTGAGATAAACCGACAAAATATTATAAGAATATGTTATTATCTTTTAGTAAGCCACAGCACTAGAGAACTGCGTGACCATGATTTTTAGTCACGGTCACGGTCACGGTCACGGAAATTTTTCAAAATCGGTCACAGTCACGGTTACGGTCACGCAGATTTTTTAAATTAGTCATACCCGCAGTTACGATTTGAGCTCGAAACATTGCTAGCCCCTGTCCATGTAAAAAACGGAGAATAATCAGATTAAAATCGATTAAAAAATGATTCATAGTCGGTTAGCATAATATAG